GCTTGCGCCGTGTGTGCTGCCGTGGATGTGTCACGGGAGTCGGTCGTGGGCGGCCGGGCACGGGTGAGGTGGAGAGCGGGCTCTGTGAGCGGGAACTTACCCACGGAGTGGCTCTGCACAGGGGGGTAATGCTGTGTGGGAACGGCGGGTTCTTTTAATGCCACGTTTTCGTGGCCCCTCTATAATAATCTCTTTCCTTTTTCCATGACAGCCGTGATATTATTGGCAGCTAGGGATATGGTTTAGAGTTTCCTTTGCAACTGCTTTGGATAACTGTCCTTCATGTGATTGTGATGGTTTGAAACGGGAAAAATGTATGTGGATTTAATGTGTCATCAAATGAAGTGCCACAAAAACCTCCAAATGGCTTTCCAAGGTGTCTGCTAACTATAATGAAGGAGTTAGAGTCCCAAATTATTGTTTCCTCTTCCTTCTTGTTTACAACCTTCTACATACACAGGGAGTGGTGGGTTTGTTTTTTTGGGGGGGAGGGTGAGATAACCAATCTTTCCTTTGTTAAATATTTTTAGATCAGATGTTTGTAGTCATTCACTCAGCTGGGGCAAGGGGCAAGCAATAACCTTTTATTGGATTGTAGCTGTTGTTATTGCCACCTGAAGGTTAAGGAAGAGTTTATGTCTTAACTAGTTACTTTTCAGTTTCTATTTTGGAAAACAAGTTTGTATTTGTTGAATTATTTTTGATCTTGAGTGTATTGGGAAGGTTTAACAGTGATGTTTACGATGCTTTTATTTAGATTGCTGTAATGCCTAATGGCCAGCTCAAGACAGAGACACCTGTGACAAGTGTTGCCTCAGGGTGCTTGAAATACAGTTATGTTTGGAGATCGTGGTTATAGATAAATTGACTTAGAGGGATGTAGAGATACCTGCTTCACGGTGTTATGCAGAAGCTCCTGATTTAGGGGAAAAAGCAAAGATGAAATGAGGTGATGAATTTTTGAACAAAGTACATGGGGATTAAAGGCCAGGTGCCATTAATTTTTTAATCCTTAATCAGCATAATGAGAACCACGGTCTGGTTTGTTAACGGTTATTATCTGGATTGAAATCACCTTTTCACCTCATATAAACTTCCATGTAGCCTAACGGTTGAGACCAAGTTGGAAATAGTAGGTTAGTACTCTCCTGCAGGTATGCTTAGTTCTGTTTGAATGAGCGGGGTTGGTGAGGTCAGTGTGAATATTCATAACAGTATGATGAAGTGTGCTGTGCTTACGAAAGTGGGGCCTTTGAAAAGTCCTTGCACCTCCTTGGTTACGCAGGGTTGAGTCTCTTCTCGTTGGTAGCTGGTGGGGGCTTTTTTGTGTGTATTGAAACAGGTAAAGTGGAGTATGAAATGAATGGGGTGGCCACTTTAACCCCCCAGCTGCTATCCCGTTTTGTGTGTGCATGGGGATGACGTTAAAGCTAATGGTTTACCTGTCTTTTTGCTAAGTCAGTTTCCTGACTTTGCTGTCATCATGAACTGATTGTTTGTTGGTTGTACAGCTAACAAAATTGATTGCATTCCTCACCTGTTTCCTCATAATACTCTCTTAGTGAAAAAATACATTTCTTCTTTTTATCAGTAGTTTTTAGCATAGTGTTGCAATAATCTTTTTGTAATTGCAAGTCAGAAACGTGTACTGTTAATTGGATAAAAATAAAAGTATGGTTATTGTTCTCTAAGTTTTGTGTTCAGTGCTTATCAGATGCAAGCTGAAATGATAAGGATTTACTACATGTGTCAGTATAAGACCTGACCTAGTAGATTGTTTCATAGTATTTTGTGTCCTGCAGATACAGTCCAAAATTTTTTAGCTTAAAAAGAAAAATATCAGGGATTTATGTGCTGGAAAAGTATTACCTTTTTAAAAGCTTTCTCAGACCTCTTGGTTGGCATGGATTTACAAAGGGCAAGTTGTGTGTAACAGCCCTGATGGCCTCCCACGATGAGACGACAGGCTTGGTGATGCGGGAGAGCAGTGAGTGTTGCCGCGCTGGCAGCGTGAAGCCCAGCTGGAGGGTGGTTGAGCACTGGAACGAATTGCACAGGGCAGCAAGGCTGTGGAGCCTCCGTCCTTGGAGATACCCAGAACTCCAGCTGGACACGGTCTAGGGCAACCTGCTGTAGCTGACCTGGCTTTTGCAGGGCCTTGGAGGGTGTGACCTCCCGAGGTGCCTGCCAGGCTCGGCTGTTTGGTGATGCAACCTCGTTTTGTTAGATTCATCATAGCTGAAGAAAGCAAACGTATTTTGCATTTGATCCCTTTGTAGTGTGTCAAAACTAATTCCAGAAGACTCTAAAAATTACTGACAGGCCTTCAGAAACAAGTGGAATGTAATTGACATAGCAAACTTTACTGACCATTTGTATTTAATAATGGAATTGTTTGTTTATTCACTGTCCATTGAGAGAAAGGTGTAATTGTCTAAAT